TGGACTGTCATGCTGCGACTGATAGTGCACGCGGGGGGGGGGGGGGGGCAAGGTGCGTCCGTCCCCGTGAGCACGCTGCGCGCTGCGTCCTCGCCGCGGTCCTCGCCGGGCCGCGGGAGCCACTTATCAGGTAATGATGGCGTGATGGCCTAGCGACCGCCGCCGGCCTCCTAGATGCAGAGGGGAGGGGATGTCAGACTGTGTGTGCGAGAGAGAGAGCGCGCGCTTTGGTTTGCATCCCATCCGAGAGTGTGAGAGGGACAAGGTGACTCCCCTCTCCCTACATATTCCATCCATTATTCCATCATCTCCAGCACCGAGCCTTGCCCCGGCGGCACTGCCGCGAGCACGACGATCCACGGCCGGTATACACTCACCTTTGGCCGGCGCCGTGCCGTTGCCGTGCACCGTGCATGTGTGTGCGGAGGGCCTCGCCTGCCGATGCCTGCCGATGCATATGCATCGGTAAGTGCAGGGCCCACAGCTCGGCCCGAGGTTCCTCCTTGCCCTCCCTCCGTCCTGGGCGTGCATGACAGGGACAGGATAGGGCCGGGCAAGGGCCTGAGTTGTTTTTTCTGCCCCGAGACTCCAAACTTTGTCCGTGTAGCAGTTTGTTTCGAGGTTTGTCTCAACCTGCCTTATTTTTTTTCGTGTCTGAGAAAGAAGGGGGCAAAAAAGTGACGCGTTTGTCGCCACATTGTCGTCCAAGCCTGCGTCTTTGGAGGGGGAGGTAGAGGAAAGCGGATAAAGAACCTGAGCTCCGTGCTTTTACTTTGACAAGCTTAGTCCGTTGATACGTTATTCTGGGGGAGTAACATACTCCGCGCTAGTGTTGCGCGCAGGGTACCTCACGTCCTATTTCCTACACACGTGCGTTAGACAGAGGATGTTTGTAAGCGCGCTGCCCGTCCGTCCCAGACGTCGCCGTGTCGCCCGCCTTGATTGGTTTGGTTGCACCGGGAGGAATGCCCCATGTCCCCCCCCCCCCCTCCCCAGCCCGGTGGACTCCTTCCCTCCCCTTTCACACAGCCTTAATGAGCCGTCCATGTCCGACACGGTGTTGTGTTTAATCCCGAGCACGCCCGGCACGGTGATCGGCGGCGCGGCCCTTGGCTGTAACTCGACGCCCTGGGCGCCTGGAGGGGAGGGCGGGGCCGTGGGGCAGGGCAGGTTGGGGCGCGAGGTGGTGGTGGCCTCCTTGGCGCCGGCTGTCTTGGCTCTAGGCCCAGCACTACACCGGCCCTCAGCGCCCGCCCCGTCTCACCCGCGCCACCGGCCCCGTTAGGAACAGCAACCCCCAGCATCCAGGTCCGGGGGAGGAGGGCAGGGCTGCTGCTTCCGTAGCCACAGCATCCCCTTCCCGAGGTGAGCCCCCGCGCGCGCCCCCTCCGATAACTTCTCCCCCATCAGGTCAATCCAGCTGCAGGCGACGGTGCGCCCACCCCCTCCCGGTGCCGCCCCCGCCCCGCCCGGCGCGGCCCGCCGGTGGAGGGTTGGGGAGGGAGAGGACGGCGCTGGCTGGGGCCTCGCTGGGGCCCCCGCCCGCAGGCCCCTGGCGCGGCTCCTCCCGGCTAGAGCGCCGCGCTCAGTGCAGTACCCGACACGACTCGACCGGCTCGGCACAGAGCTGCCGGGCGCTCCGCACCGCGCCGCGCCACGCCCCGCCGCTCTCCGCACTGGCAGCGCCACCGCGACCGCGGCGCTCTCTGGCGATCGAGCGGGCCAACTCTGTTGGGGGTGGGGGAGACGCCGGGTCCACCGGCAGCCGCGGTGGGGGGCGGAAGCGACGGCGGGCACCACGACGACGACGGCTCTCCGCGTCCCCGCTTTTTGAAAGAGTGAGGTTAGAGGCGCCATGCAGTGGCGGAGGCGGCGCCGGGTCCTGGCGGTGGTGGGGGCGGCGCAGCGCGCGCTGCTGCTCCGGGGGCTGCAGCTGGTGACGGACGCCGACGACGAGCGCCTGGAGGCGGCCGAGAAGCGCTGGCTCGAGTCGCCCAAAGTGCGCGCCGTCAGGGAGTTGATCCAGCGCTTCCAGGTCGCCGACGATCAGCAAGGTGACGAAATGGACGAAATGGTGGGGGGATGGTGGGGATAGGGACGTCATTCGCTCATGACGGAGGGGGGGAAGGG